TCACCTTTTAGGCAACTGCGCAAATAATGTAATTTTTGCCCATCTGATAAAGCGGTGTTGGTGTCAACCAACGAACAAAAGGCGTCATAGAAGGCGACCCAATCCGTGGAATCGCCCGAAAAGGTTGGTAAATCCATTTTGGGCAAACGTATAGCAGCAGACACAGACGCTGACGTAGCTGCAGGCTGCGTTGGCGGTTCCGTCCTACACTTTTGAACCCGTTTGAAGCTGGCTAAAGCTTCAGCATACCAAGTTTCACCTTGTATGCGAGCGTTCTCCTGTACTTCCACATTGTCAGATCCACAAGATGTTTCAACATCATCTTGAGCAGCGGTGAAACGTACCCATTGCTCGTTAAGGAGTTGTAAATAGCTTGATACAGTGTCGACGTCCATGAGAAAAGCTTCGTCTTTGCTTTTTGTCATGTATCTTTTAAAAGCATTTAGTGCGGAGTCGCGAGTTTTTACCGAAGAAGACATTATTAGCTTTGCTTTATGGGTGGTTTGTAGATAAACGATATTTATGTTGATTGCAGAGGGCAAAATAAAGTCACGGCAGATTTGTAAGTAATGCAAAGTAAAAAAAACTGATAATTCGTAGAGGACAAATCAGAGGACAGCAGAATGTCACAATAACGCATGTATTTCGAACGATTTGCAGAGGTCAAGCCAAAGTCACCTTGAGTTATGAAATTTATGATTCTTGTACATATGTATGTATGTATGTAGGTGTGAATGTGACCTACACCTTGATTTCCATACAATTGCGCTTATACGAGCGGTTCGAGAATATTCGGACCGAAGGACCAGCAAATGTTGCAGAGTTTTCCCAAATGTTGATTGCGAGTAGATTCCTTGTTAGAGTTGATTGTAGAGTTCCAAGTAAAAGTCGCGGTTTACTAATTTACAATTTAATTCAATCTACTTTAATTGTTCAATAGAAACTTTACAATTTTTATGCGAAAATTCTAAGCGGGCGAACGAAATATGCAGGCGGTAGAAAAGCTAACGAACGATAAACAATTAGCCGAAAAAACAATAATAAACGAAGAAGGAGAATAAGAAATGTCAAATGACGTTTGCTATTAACTCCTTCGTGGTGAATTAACGTTAACCCTTGTAAGTGCGTGAACATTAACTCTTATGTTATACATGCAACCATTAAATCTTTAAAGTTAGTATATTCGAACCCAACA